TTTTTTTTTTTTTTTTTTTTGGCTAGAACCCGGTGGAAGCCAGAAGAGGAAGGCAGCGTTTGGGCAGGGGGAAGTAGCTGGCTGCCTGCCTGCACCCAGAGCCCTTAGAAAGTGGAGATGGCCAAGAAGCCAGCAGCCCTGCCTGGGAATAAGGCTTCTGAAAGAGACTTTGCTTTTTCCCAGCTCGTAGACTCCACATGGGTGCAGGGAGCCAGGCAGGCTCCGGTGGCCGGCCACCAGCTCAGCCAGCCACGTGCCTGCCTGCAGGTCCCCTCTGTGCATGCTGTTGTGGGTTAACCCCCTCTGAACAGAGATGGAAGCTGGGAATGCTCTGAGCGGCAGGGGGTGGGGGTGGGGCAAGTAGGAAGGCCAGTAAACCCTGGGGGCAAGGAAGGAGGGCTCCCAAAGACTGGTGTGGATAGCATCCCTACAACCTCAACCTGAAACCCGCGTGGGAGGACTGGTGGGTGTTTCCATTATGCGGGTGGAGACGCGTGGCTGCAGTCCCATCCGCACCATTTACAACCACAGGGTCACTTTCGGGCCAGGTGAAGAGCTTTTGAGGGGTTTGGGGGAAGGTGGCTCTTGGCGTTATGCTGAGCATCCCAACCTTCCCAGGGAAGCGGGGCGGGGTGGAAAGGGGGAGCACAGGGGAAGTGTTGGAAGAGTCCCTGCAGAGCCAGCCTGGTGTCCTCTGGCTCCAACAGCCGAGTCAGCGCGGGCTGCCGCCAGCCGCTGCACTAAGCTCCATCCTTTACCTGCAATGCCCTAAGAGCAGCGCGAGGGTTTATGGGGGAGGAGGAGGCGGGAGGGGGAGGCGCAGCAAGGGCAATAGGGGAGGCAGGGGGAAGGCGGCTGCCTGCCAGGCCTTTGCTGCTTAGGACGAACTCCTCTCAAAATAGCTCTGGAGACCTCATCAAAGCTCTCTGTTTTCCTTTCTCTCCTACACGGGCTCTTCGGGGGCTTTTTGAGAACCGAGAGTGGAGCAGGAGCCTTCCCACCTACCCTCAGTGGCCCGGGACACCTGCCCCTCACTCCCGTGGCTACTGGCACCTCCTGGAAAACAGGCACCTGCTCTTTTGCCAGGAGGGCAGGGGTGGGAGGGGCCCGCGGAACCAATGTGATCTAGAGAGCTGCTGGACTGGTCTTCAAAGAAGCCTACCCCAGCCTCCACGGAAATACCCTCCTGTCCTTTGAATCTCTGCCCATCTCCTCCGGCCCAAGAAGAGACAATTCTGTGACAGTTCTTTGGCATAGGGTCCAAGCCGTCCCGGCATCCCTGAAAATGTTCTCTTCCAGGTATTTCTAAGCCAGGCCACCCCAGCCCCGAAATGCACATGACCCCGTCACCAGGAGTCAAGCCTGTTGGGGCCACAGCTGAGGACTCTGTCTCAGTCCTTTTCTTCCAGTAGGTAGAGGGAGAGATCCCCTACAAGCTGCTGGTTTCCTCCCACTTGCACTTCACCGAGCGACAGGGGCTTTCTGAGCAGGTGAGCAGGACCCCAATCAGACTGTGTATGTGGGTTAGTGTGTGTGTGTGTGTGTGTGTGTGCAAAAGTGGGAGGCAGAGAACCTTGCCCTTTCCCCCCTTCCCCCCATTCTGGCATGGTCCAGGGGCTGAGCTTGAGGCCGGTGGTCTATCAGTGCAAACATCCTCTAGTCACCAATGTATCTCCCAAACACAGTGTCTGTCCCACTGTAAGGTCTCCCTGTGTTCTTCAAAGGACAGCTGCCAAGTGTGGTGTGACAAACCCTAGGGGGATGGCTCCCAGTCTGGTGCTAACAGGAGCTGCCTGGGAGAGGGGTTTGGGGGAGGCCAGCCTTTCAAGTTCCCAGGCTCTGCAGACACCCCTGCAGCTCCACATCCTGGCCACCCCCTTCTGTGGGTAGGGAGTCACTTTCCCTCCTTTGGCTTCCCTCCTCTCAGTTCAGATCACTGTTCTGTGAGACTGTGAGACTGTGGGGACCCCGACGCCATAGACTAGTGGCTAAAGTCCCCACCTTCCATGTGCTGGGATCCCATATGGATATCCAATTCATATCCTGGCTGTTCCACTTCCCATCCAGCTTCGTGCGTGTAGCCCGGGAAAGCAATGGAGGATTGGCCAAAACCTTGGAACTCTGCACCTGTGTGGGAGACCAGGAAGAAGCTCCTGGCTCCTGGCTTCGGATCGACTCAGTTCTGGCCATTGCGGCCACTTGTGGGGTGAACCAGCAGATGGAAGATCTCCTTCTCTTTGTAAATCTGATCTTCTAATAAAAATAAATTTTTTTTTAAAGAATGTGGTGTGGGAGGCAGCAGGGGACAGGGAACGAGGCTTAGGCTTTGTGGGCCACAGAGAAGTGCTGCATGATCACAAGCTGCTAAGCACTGCTCCGTGCTATGATCTGTCTTCTGAGCCAAGTCCACCTGTGATACTGGCAAGGCCAGGAGCAGGTGCATAAATGACTACAAGTGACCCATGGCGCTGCACACAAGTCATAAACAGAACCAGCCGAGTGTTCACGTGCATTTTGCCTTTGGTCTACTTTCCTTCATGTCGACTCGGAAGACCAGGTCCAAGATAGAATTTCTAGGCCATGATCTTCTCCAATGCTGCAGCGGCAGGGGTCTGCGCTCATGCCTGGAAACAATCCGCCTCTTGGCTGCTTCCTGGAACTCTAGGCGCACGCCTGTACTGTCAGCTCCTGAGAGGACAACCCTGAGCAAGCGGCCTGGCAGCAGTGCCTGAGGAAGGAACTTGGGGGTCCCTGATCTTGGAAGGACAGTCCAGAAGAGGAACAGGCCCCTGGCCACGGTCCTGTGACTCCTTCCTCAGTGAGGAGGGCAGGGCCAGGGGAGGGCCAGTGTGAGCCCAGGGTCGAGGCCATCCCCCAGCACTCACAGACGGTGGAGGACCTTTTTTTCTGCCGTGAATCATTTGGATACTATCACATTATCCATGGGCTGTATAAAATAATCCACTTAAAGAACTCAGCCTCCTATAGCTTGACTGAATTTCAAATCCTGCTTGGGCCTGCCAGACCAAATGATTTCTATATTGTTTTTAAGGTTTATTATTATTATTATTATTATTATTATTATTATTATTATTGGAAAGACAGATATATAGAGGGAAGGCGATACAGAAAGATCTTCTGTTGGCTGGTTCATTCCTCAAGTGGCTGCAATGGCTGCAGCTGAGTCGAAAGCAGGAGCCAGGAGCTTCTTCTAGGTCTCCCACGCAGGTACAAGGACCCAAGGCTTTGGCCCATCCTTACTGCTTTTCCAGGCCACAAGCAAGGAGCTGGAAGAGAAGTAGAGCAGCTCAGATACAAGGAAAGGATTTAGCCACTAGGCTATTGCACTAGGACCTTGACTCAAATTATTTCTGAGGTTGCCTTGGAAAGCCCATGGGCTAGACATGCCCCAACCCTTCTCTAAGCATCCTATAAAGTGAATATCACCATGTTCACCTTGGCACACAGAAAACTGAATCGGGTAGCAGTCAGTGGTAGGACTGCCAGGGTCCCTGAACACAGCCTCTTTTTTGGGAAAGTCAGACATTTAGCATCTCACCTGAAACCTCAGGGGGCTCTCAGGACCACCTGGGAGACCCCAGGTTATGATGGAGGCTGCCTTTGCGTGTGGCCAACAGGGAGCAAGGATGTGTCCCAATTTGAACCAATCCTCAGACAACAGGGAGGAGCTGGGCTACGGGGAAAGTGGGAAAGTGGGTGGTGGAGGGGAAGCACCCCAGAAGGAAAACACTTGTTTATTTTCTTCTGCTTGAAACACACTCAAACACACAGGGAGAGAGACACATACACTTCCATCCACTGCTTCACTCCGGAAATGCCAGCAACAGCCAGGCTTGGGCCAGTGGCAGGGGCCCACTCCTTGCAGCCAGCAGTTGCTGTCTTCCCAGGATGTTTGAAAGAGAAGTCCCCATGCCAACGGAGACTTCTGAGGGAAGTCCCAAGCAGGAATTCTGAGGGCTGTCCCAAGATGTGGTGTCACTCGCTCACCCCTAGTGTGGACTCACTTTGAATTGTAGTCTGGGGAAAAACTGGCAGATTCCTACCATATCGTGAGCCTGGACTCCTGACAGCCTACCCCAAAACGCAGGCAGAAAGAGTCGGCGGGTGGGGAAAGTCTGGGAGCTGAAGAGGGGATAAGTCTAAGGGATGTGCCCTAGCCAGGGGTGCAAAAGTGGGGCGCAGGCCGCAGACCAGACCCGAATTAGTAGCTTCCGGCTTGTCCCCAGGCGGCAGCGGCGATTTCCGAGTTCGTTCTGCAGAAGCCGGTTGGGGCGGGAGTAGGGTGGGGTCGCACTCGGACGCTGGGCTACAGCATTCCCGGGCTGCGCCCCGCACCGGCTGCGGACCTTCACGCGGTGCCCGCCGGTCCCGGGAGAGGTTGTCACCACCTACCCTTGTTCTCCCAAGCAGAACACAACAACCTCCCAACACCCGAAAAGCTCCACCTCTGCTCTCCGCCAAACTCTCCTAATTGGCAGCTCCGTGCCTGAGAGGATGCGGGCGACCGCGGGCCGGCCCCGCAGTGCCACACCGCAGCAGCTTCCTAGCCCGCCTGGTGCGGGGAGTGTGGGCGGGTCCTGCCCAGCTCCTGCAGGGCTCCAAGGAGCCCAAGAGGCTGGGCGCACCGAGTCCGGAGTGTGCAGCGAGCAGGGGCGCCCCGGGCTGGTCCCGCGGCCACCGCCCCTGCTGCGGCTGGAGCGCAGCCAGAGCAGAGGCGCAGGCTCGCTCGCCTCTGCGCGCTCTCGGGCGTCCTCCCCCTGCACCCGGCTCCGCTCCGCCTCCTCCTCTCCGCCAGCCGCGGCTCCAGGCGGCGGGCGAGCGCGCCTCCCCCTCCTCGCTCTCCCTCTCCCTCCCCTCGCTCTCTCCCAGCTAACTTTCCCGAGCCCCGACCGGCGGCGCAGAGCTCCCCCGCAGCCTAGGGGCCGACTGCAGAACGCTGGAGGAGAGCGCGGCTGTGCGGGATAGCCCAGCCCCGCGCCCTCCCGGTGCGCTCCGCAGAGGACAGGACGATGTCCGGGGCTGGGGATCGAGGCAAAGCCCCGGCGAGATGGCTGGGCACTGGGCTTTTGGGTAAGGTGGCCCCAGCTTAGTCTCTTCTCTTGCTCAACGTCCCCCACCTCTCCCCCACCCCCAAACTCCCCGATTCCCGAAAGGGACGTTCGTCAAGAGGGACGCCTTAGACGGGCTGGGCCTTGCAAGGCGACACAGATGGAGCACGGTGGCCACTGTCCTCCCTCCTCCCCAACGATGCGCCTGGCCCAGAGCTGTGTTTGCCGGGGACGGTGCGTGTCCCCGCACCTCCCCCACCCGCTCCAGCCGGCAGTCCTCCGGATTAGTGATTTTTTTTTTTTTTAATTGTCTCTGGTGTCTTCAGCTCCAGGTGTCTGAAGCCGGCACTTGGGGCTGCAGCGTGGGTGCAGAGGGTCAGGCTGGCGGGCTGGAGGGGCGAGGATCTGCTCCGTGAGGGTAGAGGTTGCACAGACACCGCTTGGGGGATGGTGATGGTTTGCACCCCTTCCTGGTGGGCACCTGTGGGGGTGAGGAGCCTTTCTTTCTCTGTTCCCTGCAGCTCCACACTAAACAGTAGTCGGGGTTGGAGGGACTTGGAAGAGCTCCTTTTCTGGACAGGCCTCCTTTCACTTCTACAAATAATCCATGGGAACAATCTGACTGGCCTGCCCCTGGGCTCTCCCATTTTTGGGGTGAATCGGACGATCGAAGGGGACCTGTCCCGAGGTGGCAGAGGGTCCGGAATCTATTTATAATGCACATGATAGCTTTGAGTGCTGGCTCCAGATGACGAGGGCCTGAGATTTATTAATCCAGAATGAAATTTCATCACAAATCATAGCCGGACTTCCATGTGTAAGCTGACCCCATCCCTGGCACCCACACCTCCTCTGTTTATGTCTGTCAGATTGGACTTCCGGCAGCAGCAGCTCCCGGCCTGGGTGAGGCACGTGTGGTGGAGGTGTCTGTGCGGGTGCCCGGGAAGGCAGAAGTCCCTGCTACTACGTAAACCCACGCTGCCTGCAGATCTGTCTAGGGGGACTGCCTACTGGCTGGGGGACAGCATCTTTTTGCTTAGGGGCCATTGCACTATTTGCAATTCTGTGGTGACCTACAAAGACTCTGTGCTGTCCCGTCTCCTGTTGGCACAGATGGCTGCTGCCGGCTCAGAGAGGTGGGCTTCTGAGGCCTGAGGGTCCTCTTCACTGAGTGCATACATGGCCACTCTACATGTGTTCCCTCTCAGCCCAGCTGCAGTCATGCCAGGGGCAAGGGTGCCTGGAGGAACTCAGGGTCATGCAGTTTTTCCCATACTGCATGCCCCGCCTGCCCAAGCTGCCTGGTTGGATGGTGGGTGGCATGTTAGTTCTGGGTTGCGAGAATATTCATAGCATATTCTGGGTGTCTGTGGGCAATGCAAAGGGCTCTGAAAACTGTGCCTGAGTGTGTGTATTGGGGAGCTTATAGCTACAGAGTCGTAATGCCTTTCTCCATGGGCAAGCTATTTCCTGCAAGGACTGGCCAGTAGATCATGTGGGCTCAGAGTCCACGGGGGCAAGTTTGGATGACTCCCTGAGCCACTGTCTGGGAGCCCAGGCCAGAGCAGAGCGACCTGTAGGTGGGGACCCTGTAACCACAGAAGTGGCCTTGCTGGTCCTGTCCCCCTGGCCCCTCTGGCCTGCAGATGGAGCCCAGCCAGGGTGCTCCTTGGGCCTTGCACTGAACTGAAGAGCACACGCATCCCCTCCTTGCTGTCAGTCCATGGGCAGGCATGGCGATGACTGGAGGTGTGTTCTGGGGGCATCACAATGGGCAGGGACTTTGGCAACTCAGAGTGCTGCGAAGGAGGAGGGAGCCATGGTCCAGAGAGGGTACATGGCTGAGACGTGCTCAAATGGGACAAACTCCAGGCTGCTGGGACGCAGTTGTTCCCCGCCTCTCAGCTAATCCAAGGGTGGTGAGGGGGCAGGTCAGTAGAAGTTGAGTTTCGGGTTTGAGAAGGAGTGAGGTTTTCTGGGCTGTGGCATGGGAACATAAGGGCTTAGGGAACCCCAGAGCTGCTGTTTTCAGTTGTGGAGACTGGAGACAAAGTAGTAAACTCCTGGCATGTCTCAAACTGAGCCCAGTGTGAGTTTTTTTTTTTTTTTTTTTAAGCTTTTTATTCCTTTGAAAGGCAGACTTACAAAAAGAAAGGTTGGGGTGGGGGCAGCAGAAGAGAGATCTCCCATCTGCTGGGCTCATTCCCCAAATGACTGAAACAGTCAGGGCTGAGCCAGGCCAAATCCAGAAGCCACAAGCTTCATCTGAGTTTCCCACATGCGAAACAGAGGCCCACACGCTTGGGTCATTCTCTGCTGCTTTTCCACTCACATCATTAGGGAGCTGGATCAGAAGTGGTGTAACCAGGACTCGAACCGGCACCCATATGGGATGCCAGCATTTCAGGCAGTGGCTTAATTTGCTAAGCTACAATGCCACCCTCCCCCACCTCATGTTATTTTTGAAAACCTAATATGATATCCTTTTCTCAGCCTTTTGGCTAAGATCAAGTGTAGTACCAATGAGCAATTTTGAAGGTTGTGTCACTGCCGCTGAGGCTGCTCCCGACTCTTTGCAGAGAATTGGCGATGGAGTGGTGCTACCCACCCCTTTCCATTGTTCCCTGATTTGCTTAATTGCTGAGATCTGTGTTTAATTATCACTTGTAAGGGTGCTGTGTTGTACAACCCTCTCTCCCTTGGTATGTGTTTATTAAGGGCTTGCTTCATGAGGATGCAATTAAGGGGAGGGTGCTCCGTCCCAGGCAGAGGAAGCCAAGTGCCTGGAGGAGAAGGGGAGAGTGGAGGGAGAGGTCGGCTTTGGGTCTAGAAACGATGCTTCCTTTGCTTTCTGAGGCTGTGGTCGGAGCATGCCCGTGGAGGCACCCAGGAGAGAAGATGGGGTCCCCAAGAACTGAGGACCAGCTACCTTCTGGTAGCCTCAAGATACCAGGCAACCTGCAGACCCAGGGAGATAACCACCTGGCCCCAGGGCTGGCCCTCCAGGGGCACTGGGGTGCCTTCACAGGCCATTGTTGGCCCTTTCAGCACACCTGCTCTGTGGCTTGCCAGAGACATAGGCCAGCTATGTGACCTTGTTTGCAAAGCTGTCTTGGTTGAGCCTGTAGAACTGTCTCAGGGGCATGCTGCTACCCAGCAAAGCTCCTGGGGGTAAGCAGGAAGCAGGCGGGTTGCCCAGGGAGAGAAGGAGCTGGAATCTTTCCTTTGATGCTGGGCTCAGGGGCCTTGTGTGGCCCAGCCCTGCCTCCCACAGCCTCCTGGGCCTGTACCCCAGGAGGATTCCTGCTCTGATGCCTTGGCCCACTTTTTTTTTTTAAGATTTATTTATTTTTATTGCAAAGTCAGATACAATGCAGAAAGGAGGAGAGACAGAAAGGAAGATCTTCTGTTTAATGATTCACTCCTCAAGTGTCCACAACGGCTGGTGCTGCGCCGATTTGAAACCAGGAGCCAGGAACTTCCTCCAGGTCTCCCATGCGGGTGCAGGGTCCCAAGGCTTTGGGCCATCCTCGACTGCTTTCCCAGGCCACAAGCAGGGAGCTGGATGGGAAGTGGGACTGCTGGGATTAGAACCGGCGCCCATATGGGATTTTGGCATGTTCAAGGCGAGGACTTTTAACTGCTATGCCACCGTGCCAGGCCCTGGACCCACTTTCTGCATCCTGCTCTAACCTGGGAGCTCTTGGTCTCCTCAAGAGCTCCAGTGTCTGACCCCCAAAATAAAGCTCGGTGGGAGTTCACCGTGAGTGGGCAGCACCCTGCTCACTCCCCTCTACCACCTTGGTTGTGTGCCTGTGGGATAAGGTGATGCTTGGCTGGGTAGAGGTACCAGTCGCCATCAGGCTGTGAATGTTGAATAAGGACCTTGACGTGCACCAGATACTATTTTACTTAAACGAAACTTGAGAATCCTGATTCAGTCCTTCGAGGAGCCCCAGCAGCTGGGAGGATAGCAGAGGGCCGAGGACTTGAGAGAATGGCTCAGAAAATAGCTGCTCAGACAGTGGCTGAGTGGCTTGGGGCTGTTGAGTGAGGAAAGGGGTTTAGGACTGAAGTCCGCATGTTGGAGAACAGGAGGGCGTATATGTCAGCCCCATGATGTCAGGAAGAGGCCCTGCTCCCAACACACACATGCACATATGCACACACACCCATGTACATACACACGCTCATGCACATGTACACATACACATGTGTGCATTGCACATATACACACACCTTGGCTTTGTAAAGAGTTAAGTTTAGGAAAATAAAACTCCCTTTACTCCAGGGAAGTGACCATATGGAAATAACACAGGATACACAGGTGGCAGATAAATCGCTAAGAGAGTGGCCTGGAGGCATATGCAGCTGACACTGGTCACGAAGGGAAGGGAGGGGTGCGCTGGGTCCCTCCAGATCTTTGGGGAGGGACAGCACAGACCTTTTCCCCTTTCCAACAGCACCACAGGGTGCCCCCTCGTAGAAGTGCTTCTTGTGTTTCCCAACATCATGGGGATAGGGAAGACAGCCATGCCAGTCCTGGAGTGGGATATGCTTACTGGACTGGCACCTCTGACTTTTTCAAGGTCAACAGGTAGGGCAGGCCTGACCTTGTACCTGCTGGCCGGTCCTGCCCAGTGTGGTCCTCCTGCTAAAGCAGCCTGCCAGTGTCCCCAGGAGATCAACACCTGCCCTTGCTCTTGCTTCTCTCCGCTGGGGTGGTCTCATGGAGGAGGGCCCTCCTGTGTCTGAGCAGTGCAGACACAGCTGGTGGGACTTCCAGGTTTGCTGCTGGCTGCTGGTTTCTGTTGCCTCCTCCAGGCTCCGGAGGACAGGCTGGTGCATGTCCGAGGGAAGCCACCTGCAGAGGTACACCAGTCAGGCCAGGCCATGCACTGTGCTGTGAGGCTTACACCTGCTCTGGGCCTCTTGCTGGTGTTGCTCCTACGGTCTCAAGCTGTAAGAATTTCCCTTGAATGTGCACATTTGTGCTCCTGGTTATCTCATGCTGGCCAGGACTCCAGAAGCGAGGGCCTGTCTGGCTCCTCTTTCAGTTCACTTGTCATCCTTAGGACTCCCATCACTAGACTGGGGTGCCTTTTCTTTTTTAAAGATTTATTTATTTATTTTTAAAGTTTTTATTGTAAAGTCAGATATGCAATGCAGAAAGGAGGAGAGACAGAGAGGAAGATCTTCTGTCCGGTGATTCATTCCCCAAGTGACCGCAATGGCCAGTGCTGCACCGATCCAAAGCCAGAAGCCAGGAACCTCCCCCAGGATTAGAACCGGTGTCTACATGGGATCCTGGCGCATTCAAGGCAAGGATTTTAGCCACTAGGCCAAGCCGCCGGGCCCTGGGGTGCCTTCTTAAGAACATTGGAGGGGGTCCAGTGCAATAACCTAGTGGCTAAATCCTTGCCTTGCATGCATTGGGATCCCATATAGATGCCAGTTCGTGTCCCAGCTGCCCCACTTCCCATCCAGCTCCCTGCTTGTGGCCTGGGAAAGCAGTCGAGAATGGCCCAAAGCCTTGGGATCCTGCACGTGCATAGGAGACCCAGAAGAAGCTCCTAGCTCCTGATTGGCTTCTGATCAGCTCAGTTCCGGCTGTTGTGGCCACTTGGGGAGTGAACCAGCAGGTGGAAGATCTTTCTCTTTGTCTCTCCTTCTCTCTGTATATCTCCCTTTCCAATAAAGCTAATAAATAAATCTTAAATAAAAAAAGAGCACTGGTGGCCCTGAGGTCTCCGGGAGCTGTCTTTTCCTGAGCACTTGCTCATCCACTGTGCTCTATCTGTCTTTACTTTGCGGGGGCAAGAAGCAAACTGGGGGTCTCCCATCAGAGAACGCCCTCTAGTGCTGGCCCCAGGCTGGCCCTTGTCCTTGTTGCTGTGGGGAGTGGAGTCAGGAGGAGCAGGTTCCTGAATTTTTAGAGATTCATTCATTTATTTTTTTAATGTGAAAAGCAGAGTTGCAGGGAGCGATGAGAGATGAGAGAGAGGTCTTCCATCCGCTGGTTCACTTCCCAAGTGGCTGCGATGGCCAGAGGTTGGCTGACCCAAAGCCAGTAGCCAGAGCTTCTTCTGATCTGCCACGTGGGTTTGAGGTGCCAAGGCTTTGAGCCATCCTCTGCTGCTTTCCCAGGTCATAAGCAGGGAGCTGGATTTGAAGTATAGCAGCTAGCACACAAACTGGTGCTCATGTGGGATGCTGACATTGCAGGCGGAGGATTCGCTTACTACACCATGGTCCCAGTGCCAAAAAACAGGTTCGTTTGGAGAAGTACCATCGATATGGGGGAAAAGCAGACCTCCTTGCCACTTGCGCAATGCCTCCTGTGGTTTCCTTCCGTGTGCAGCCTTTAGCAACTTCATCCTTCAGAGCGGGCTTCTTCATCTGTCCATCAGGAATCATTACGCTAAGTACCTGCTGGGGCCGTTACAAGGATTCATCAGACAGTGCATGTAAAATGCCAGTCCTAGCTAGGATGAAGGCTGAGTCCTAGGCTGGCCATTTCCTGTATGGCCCAGAGTAAATCACGTCACCTCTCTGAACCTTTATCTCTTCATCTGTAGAATGGGAAAGGGGATGCCTACCTTTCGGCATTCTGATTGGAGTTACAAGGGACACAGCCCTAACCCCCCAGTGCCCGGATACATAAAGCGTGGGCCCAGCCCAGAGCAATGCTTCCCACTGCCTGCACCTCTCCCCAGGAACTTCGTGGAAGTTCGGATTTTGCAGCACCAGCATCCCTAATGAGCAGCTGCAGAATCGGAATTCGGAGGCACGTGCAAGCTTGAAAACCAGCCTGTAGATCAACTCTGGACCCACCGCAGCTAACCAAAAATGAGGACTCATTGGGAGAACTTCCTGGTACCCACCAGAGCCTGGGGAACAGATCTGGCTGTTTTAGGATGTGTGGTGTGTTGATGGTTGTGGGGGCAGTATTTTCTTCTTTAAGAGTCTACAAAAGTTTCTTTCTCATTTACCCTGCACGGGTTGGCTAATTTCTCCAGACTCACTTGTTTGGTCTGTAGTATGGAGTGCCGTGTCCGGCTGGTTTACAGGATAGATGTGTGGATGATGGGCCTGGTGCATAGCAAATAAATGTTCAATAGATACCAGTTATCACGGCCATTATCGCCAGTTGCAGGCCACAAGCTGGGATTTCCTAGCTGGGACTAGAGCGAAGGCAGAGGCACTCAGGGGAGAGAGCTCAGAGCAGGGCTGCTGGTCGCCGCTGTCGTGCAGAAAGCACTGCGCAGTGCCCTGCAGCCCCGAAGCCCCGGCTCCTCCCGTGCCCTTGCCAGCCCATGACCTTGAGGCGGTTGGGGTTTCCTTGAGGAATCTGTAGGACCAAGGAGGGCGCGCGGGAGCCGTGCATGGAAGCGCCGCGCCCCAGCTGCAGGGGCCGCGTTGCTGTGCCAGGGAGAGCGCGCGGGCGCGCGGGCCCTTCCTGCAGGAGCCGCGCGGCTGCAGCGGCTCCCGGACTTCGGCGGAGTCGGCAGACGGTCGAGCTCCGTGCGGACCTTCCGATCCCCGTCATCTCTCTGCCGCGCCGCACCCCACCGCAGCTGCTGCTTCCCCTCTGTTGTCGGGGTCCCGCTGCGTGGCCAGGGGATGTCGGGTTCACACAGGATGGCTAATCCCACCCGATGGGGTCCCCCGGAGCACACCCCCGCCCCTGGCCTACCCCCGTCCGCGGCGACGAGGGTCCCCCGGATAATACACGTTGCAGGACTCAGCAGTTCTCCGCTTCTCCAGTCCACAAATCTGCTGTTCTAGGGGACGGCGCGTGCTGTCCTGGGGGACATTGCCAAGGCAGCAGTCGGGACACGCTCGCCCACTGTACCGTTTTGGGGACCGAATCTCCGGGGTGAGGGACTAGCGGGCGCTGCGGGGCGGCCGAGGGGGCCTCTTTTCTTGGGCTGGGGTGACCCCTGGTGGTCATCGCGAGTGCCACAGGGCTCCTCTTGAGGCCACTCTATCTGGAACTAGGGGAGGCTGTTGCCTTGCACAGGTGTCTTCCTGCTCCCTGTGGCCCTGTCGCTCGAGGTATCCGTGGGCAAGGCCACCACCATCTACGCCGTCAACGGCACGGAGATCCTGCTGCCCTGCACCTTCTCCAGCTGCTTTGGCTTCGAGAACCTGCGCTTCTGGTGGACCTACAATGCCAGTGATTCCTACCGGAAGGTGAGCAGGACAGGATGGCCTGCATCTCAGGGCTCCCATCTCAGGCTCAGCCGCCTTCCTTTTGTCATGCTTTGCAGAGGCACTCTGGGCTGGCTAGAGTGGGAGGGAAGCTTGGGTGGTCTTGTAGGATTTGGGGATTTGTTGGAATCTTTAGAGTGCTAGAGTCTTGCTCAATCCCCAAAAGCAGACTTTGTGGAAATAAGTAGTCTGACTTCAGAACCATAGGCGAGAAAGGTCCTTGGACAGTCTTGGGCAGAGTCCAAAAGAGGAAAGACAAGAGAAGAAGATAGGGAAGGGCAGGTGTGCCAGTGGCTGAATGAATTGGTACGTGCAGCTGGGCATCACTGGGCATGTAGCCGGCTAGAGGAGCTGATCTGAGATGAATGTCCCCTGGATATAATTGGGTGTTGGCCTCAGGGGGGACTGCTGGATAGAGCCATGGCACTGTTTCAGCTCTCGGTGGCAGGCCAGCCTTCAGATGGCCAGAGGACAGTAGCCGAGATTGGGTGGGCTGTGACAGTGGGAACTGAGCTGAGCATCTGTAGGAATTCTTCTGCAAAAGGTAGTTCCAGAGACAGTAGTAGGAGCTGTAGGCTCCAGGAACACCTGCCCGAAAGAGAAGGGCCTGGACCCGAGGTGGGCAGAATTCAGGGCAGGTGCAGCCTGCCTGAGGAAGCTCAGGGCAGGAGAATCTGTGGATATGGACTAGGGGCAGGCTCCCAGGGGATGTGTCCTAGCATGAGATCAGGGCCTTAGGTGACCCTGATTCTCTTGCGGATGCCTTCTCTGCCCCATCCGCCTCCCTCCCCAGCTCATTGAAGGACTTGTGAAGAATGAGAAGTCAGACCCCAAGGTGATGCTGAAGGACAATGACCGCATCTCCCTGGAGGGCACCACCAAGGAGAAGATGAACAACATCTCCATCCTGCTGCGCAGCCTGGAGTTCAGTGACACGGGCAAGTACACCTGCCACGTGAAGAACCCCAAGGAGAAGGACTTCCAGCACCAGGCCACCATCTTCCTTCAAGTCGTTGATAAACGTATGCTCAGGGGAAGGCCAGGGAGCTGGGTTTGGGCCGCTAACATGGGGAGATGGGCCCGTGGGTATTTGCTTTCTCTGGACACTTAGGAGTTACTGCTGTTTTATCTAGGGGCTGGGATAATTCAGTTGCAATGCTTACCTGCTGCAGAGTAGCTTGGAAAGTCCTCAGCTTCCCCATCCCCGTGTTCCTACATGTAAGGTGGGAATCCAGCTGCGTTCACCGGGCGGGGGTGGGGTGGTTTGAGAAGCCGCCTGGGAGTGTTTGGTGGCCAGCAAAGCTCCCACTCTCTAGGGCGCTTGTTGCTACTCTTGTGGATTCTATTAGCGAAAGTTGGCTGCATGTCAGCTACTGTATTAACAAGTGCCACAGAGCACACATGGTGTTTGTCCTTCGGGAGTAGCTGACAGGTAAAGTAAGAACTGAAACAGGATACAGCACAGACAACAGGGGTGGAAGAATACACGCTACATCCCCTCTGAGAGGAGAAGGCAGAGATCTTCCATCTGTTGGTTCACTCCCCAAATGTTTCCAGTGGCTGGAACCTGGTTGATTTGAAGCTGCAACGACCAGGGTTGGGCAGGCTGAAGTTAGGAGCCTGAGACTCCATCCGGTGTCCCAGGTGAGTGGCAGGGCCCCCAGGAACTGAGGCCATCCCCCACTGCCATCCTAGGCTCCCTAGCAGAAGTAGAGCTGCCAGGACTCAAACCAGCACTTTGCTTCAGTACCAGATGCCAGCATTACAAGTAGCAGCTTATTAACAGCACTACCACACAGGCCCTGACATTTTGTTTCAGAATCTGGTCCTCCCAGCCACCCTGGCCCACCCCTAGTGTTTATTGGGACTTCCTAAGTTGTCTCCATACTGTCCAGTGGCCAGTGTGAGAATGTTCAGGTCTCAGAGTTGTTCTGTGGCTCTACATCCCTCCTACAGACAGGACCCTGCACAATGTGGCTCGGTCTGAGACACTTCTTAGCCTGCAGCCACCTTTACTCACTGCTTTCCAAACATCTGCCTCCTGGCTTTCGCACAGGGCATGCTCTCCCAATCACACCTTCTCCTTTGCACTCTTTCAGGGTCCTCACTCTGCATCGCTCCCTACACCCTGCCTCCCCTGTTCCATTTGCTTATCCACATTAAGCGCATTCTCATCTATGTCCACCTATGCGTGCTGAGCCCTCAGTATGTGCAATGGGGCCACCTGAGGCAGGTGCTGCTGGCTTCTGCGGATGAGTGATGGCACCGAGGGAGAGGGCTCCACCTCCAAGGGGCTTGGCAAGAGGTCAGGGAGCCAAGGGAAGTGAGAGCGCCGGTGCCATCCACCTTGGCTCTCTTCCCTTCTCCAAGGGCTGGAGCATGCAGCAGTGTGGCAAGGAGCCCACACAGAGTCCTTAAATGAAAACCACACAACAAAATCAACAACAGGAAGAAAAAAAGAAATTAAAAATGCCATGAAGTTAAATGACATGTTACTGAATGACTAATGCGTTGCTGAAGAAATGAAAAAGAAAATCAAGAATTTTCTTGAAGGAAATGATGCTGCTGTCTGATCTGTGGGTCAGTGAAGAATTTAATGAGAAAGTGTTTCAAAGAGACGAAACAAAAAAAATATCAAAATCCATGAGATATGGTTTCCTCTAATCTTTGTTGATGAGATATGTCTCCTGTAGGCAACAAATAGATGTTTTTTTTAATCCAGTCTACTTATCTATGACATTTAATTGATGAGTTTAATCCATTTATATTCAGGGTTAATATGAATGGGTGGTAATTTGGTTCTGTCATGTTAGCAATGGGTTGCTCATTGATTTAGTCTTCTGTTGTTATTTTACTGGGATGTTCTCCACATTTGCCTTTGGTTTTGGTGGATACTATTCCTCTTCTCTGTCAATAGAACATTTTTTAGTATCTTTTGTAGGGCAGGTTTGGAAGAGGCATATTCTTTTAACTTTTTTTTTTTCCTGTGGAAGAATTTTATTTCATTTTCAAAGACAAAGGAAAACTTTGCTGGATACGTTATCCTGGGCCAACAATTTTTTTCTTTTAGAATCTGGAATATGTTGTTCCATTCTCTTCTTGCCTGTAGAGTTTCCTGTGAGAGATCTCCTGTGAATTTAATTGGCATTCCTTTATATGTCAGTTGCTTTTTTTTCACGTGCACATTTGAGGATCTTTTCCTTATGTTCGATTGAAGAGAGCCTGATGATCATGTGTCGTGATAAAGATTGCTTTTGATCAAGCCTGTTGGGAGTTCTGTGCCCCTCCTGGATGTTGTTTCCCAATTCTTTCTCTAGATTAGGGAATTTTTCCTTATTATTTCATTAAATACATTTGTAAACCCAGCTTCTCTTTCTGCACCTTCCGGGACTCCCATTACTCTTACATTTGGCTTTTTAATAGTGTCTTTCAATTGTTGAATACTTTTTTTTTTTTTAGCTTGAGCCAGCTCTGCTTCCAGCTTTTTGTTTGTTTCCCCCTGGTGACAAGAAATATTTTCCAATTCTGATACTCTTTCTTCTGCCTCATTAATTCTATTTTGGAGACTCTCCACTGTACTTTTAGTTTGCTCCACTATATTCTTCATTTCTGATATATCAGCTTTCATTTGATTCATTTCCAGTGTGGCATATTCCTTGAATTCCTTGGATGCCTGTTTTACATGCTTCTTGCTGTTGATAAGAAGCTTTAAAACAAGTGTTTTAAATTCTGTATCCCCCATTTTTCTCAATGTCTTCCTCGGTTAACTCTGAGATTGGCATAGGGTTTTGCTCCTTTGCAGGGGAGTTTTCAGTAATATTCATTGTGCCTTTGTCTCTTCTTTTGTTCTTGGTCGTTGTACTTCTAGTTAGCAGAGTTTTCTCCTGGGGACATATTTCTAAGCTGTGTCACCCACAGGTCTATAATTTGATTTTACTTATTGTGGTTGGTACATAGCTCTTTGTTTGCAGTTACTTGTACCACTCCCTCCAGCAAGTTCTAGGTCTGAGCTCTTATGTTAGACTTCCACCATGGTCTCCATAGCCCCAGCTCCTGATTCACCACTCTCCACATCCTGTGATCCCAGGCTGAGGCTGCACTGTTGTCTGTACAACCTTTGTCCCACTTCTGGTTTGAGCAGTTCACAGGATTAGGGAGACACTAGGAGTCCTATATAGCTATGCTATGCTGTTGGTGGTGGTGCTCTTGCCAGAACCTGTTGGTTGATAGGTCTGGGGGACACATGGACCTATTTATACCTGTACAATGCTGAAATTGGTATTATTTTCCATGTTGGACCAGTGCTGCACTGAGCTCAGTGAGTTTGCTTCCAGCTCAGCACATGTGCAGCTCACCGTTGTTCCTGAAGTCTTAAAGCTTTTGCCACACTGTACAAAATGGTGCTTGGTATGCCACTACTAGAGTTCTTGATCTGCTGGCCATCAGGTCCTATCTTGTGCACAACCTGTAGGATGCCATGCTGTTGCATTTCACACAGCTAGAAATGAGTTCACTCCCAGCTCTATGAATGCGCAGTACTGTCCCATAGCCTTTGTCTCCCTACACAAAATGACACCCAATTCAGCTCTAGGAGGCCCACTGGGCTATGAAATCTACCCTGCTCCTGTACTGCCCATTTGGGACATGATGCTCTGTCTGTGCTCCTGGTCAATCAGACCAGCAGGATGGGCAGTTCTTTGGGTTCACCTCCTGAGCTCCCGGTGAACATCCTTTTCCCCCTTGTTGCTGGCAGAGTTCGGCTGATGGTGCAGTTCAGATCACTGCTTGCTGAATGCTGCTGGGTTATTGGTCACTGCAACACCACAACCATTGTGTCTGCACTTTCCTGTGTCTGTCAGTCTCCAGGTGCCCCTCTGCTGTTGTTCTGTCCTCTCCTATTTCCTGGAATGTGCCCTCTGCTTCACACTGGCTAATATTTCTTCATCTGTTTAAATGTGTCCTTACCCTATCGTGCCATCTTGATTCTCTGTAAATTCTTTTTTTTAAAAAGAAATAATTAATTTTTATTGGAAAGACAGATCAGATTTACAAAGAGAAGGAGGGTCAGAAAGATCTTCCATGCACTGGTTCACTCCCCAAATGTCTGCAATGGACTAAGCTGGGCCAATCTGAAGCCAGGAGCTAGGAACCAGAAGCCTCCTCTCAGTCTCCCACATGGGTGAGGGTCCCAAGACTTTGGGACGTCCTCCATTGCTTTCCCAGACCATTAACAAAGGAGCTGGATGGGAAGTGGAGCAGCTGGGAAACAAACTGGTGGCCATATGGGATCCTTGCACTTGCAAAGTGAGGATTTAGCTATCACATCATTGCACTGAGCCCTAAATCTTTTTGTAAATAGTATTTTTAAAATTTTTATTTGAAAGGTAGATCTACAGAGAGAAGGTGAGACAGAGAGAAAGATCTTCCATTAGGTTTTCACTCTCTGAGTGGCTGCAACAGCTGATTTGAAGCTAGGAACCAGGAAAGTCTTTACAGTCTCCCACATGGGTGTAGAGTCCCAGGACTTTGGGCCATCCTTCACTGCTTTCCCAGGTCATAAGCAGGAAGCTGGATGAAAAGTGGAGTAGCTGGGACATGAGCGGATGCCCATATGGGAAGCTGGCACTTTCAGATGGAGGATTAACCTGTTTGAGCCATGATGGCAACCCTTAGACCATAAAATAAATCTTAAAAAAAATTTATTTGAGAGTGAGAGCCTAGAGATAGGGAGAAAGAGAATGCTGTTCTCTGATGGCTCGTTCCTTCATGTCTGCAATGGCTGGAGTAGGGGTAGGGGCTGAACTGGGGCTAAATACAGGTGCTGACAACTCAATCCTGGTCTCCCACATGGGTAGCAGGACCCAACTACCTGAGCCATTACCACCGACTCTCAAGGCACACATTGGCCGGAAGCTGGAGTCAGGAACTGAACACAGAGTCATAACTGCCAGGCCACATTGCCTGCCCCCTGGAATTTTTCTGAAGTTAGAGTTTTCCATCAGGGTTCTTGGGTTGAATTGGGTAAGAGATTTGAGCAAATAAGAGGAATTGGGGATGTCTCTAAGGGCCTTGATCAGAGCAGCTGGGAAGATGGGATCGTTATCAGTGGAGATGGGGGAGATGGTGGCTATAGCAGGTTCAGAAAGATGTTGGGAAGCTCAGTTTCCAGATGAGGAAGCCGAAGCTGGAGGGCTTCGTGACCTGCCCAACATTACCCTTGAATCAGTGACAGCTGAAATCCAGAATCTCTGACTTGAGTGTTTTCATCCTCTAAGAGGCACCATGGAAATAACTTTTCTTGCACGGGCCATAGAGACTTGGAAAGAAGCAGTGTCGTTCTTATCGGGCAATTTGGGGGTGAAACCACAACTCAAACCTGGGTGGTGTAGGCTCCACTTCTGGTTTGTTCCAGAACTTACCTGTGCGGAGATGGCTGGGGACGGCGAGGGCTTCTGAGGGTTGGTCTTTCGTTAGCCTGAGTGGATGCCTGTTCCTGCTTTCCCTGCTCCATGGTGCAGACCTGGGGAGGGCTGGGGGTGGGGATGGGCGTGCTTTGCCCCAGGTGACTCCTGCTCCATTCCGCTCTCTCCCCTTTGCCCTACTGTGGCCCTGCAGTGGAGGAGGTGGATAACACGGTGACGCTCATCATCCTGGCCGTCGTGGGCGGGGTCATTGGGCTGCTCGTCTTCATCCTGCTGCTCAAGAAGTTCATCGCTTTCATCCTCAAGAAGACCCGGGAGAAGAAGTGAGTAGGTGCCCTGCCGCGCTGGGCTCATGGCCCTCGGCTTGCCTCCTCCTGTCCCTGGCCCCTCCTCCCACACTCTCCGCCTAACCCCACCATTCTCTGGCCTGTCCTTGAGTTCTCCCCCATTCTTTCCTCACTCCTCACACTATCTCCCCGCCCCCCTAAACTTCCTCCCACTTCTTCGCCATCCCAGCATGAATTTACTGGATTTGTTAGGTCCACCGAGTGCATGAGTACAATCCTGTTGCCCTTGCCCCTCCCGTTGGCTCCAATCTGCATCCATCCATTTCTTCCTTTCCATTTGTCACCTGACCTGATCTATCACAAGACACAGACAGATGTGTACAGAGGTTCTTATATGGACACACCCTTTTAGGGAAGGTGGAGCCTTTTAGGGAGATGAATCCTTCGAAGTGAAGTTCACTGGGGCAGGGGTGAGGGAGGGGAAAAGAGACAGGGGAAGGAGGAGACAGAGGGGTGCAAACTCCAGGCCCAGGCTTTATGCAACAGATGTCAGGCTGCATTCTGACAGCAGGTAGTGCATCTTGCAAAGCCAGAGCAGGGAAAGCCATCTGAGGGCTGTGCCCTGAGTAAGACAGGTGAGACGAGCTGGGCTTCCCACAGTGCCTTATGGGAACCACCATGGGTCCACCCACAACAAGGCTGAATGCTTCATTGCTGGGCCTCTGGCAGATGGAGAAAGGATGCAGAGTGCTTGCTGGCCTCCACTACATGCCTGCTGTGGGTCAGGTCCACCCTGGGCATGCGTGTTCCGTACTCATCATGTGCACTTTAACCAAGTAAGGCTCCATGTGTTACATGACTTGCCCAAGGCTACATAGCTGGCAATGGAATTGGGATTTCAACTCTGACTCATTTGGCGTTAAAGCTTAAAACCTTTGCCACCACATCCTGTTGACCCATTGAGCAGATTTGGAGATTGTGCATTCACTCATTCTTCATTCTGGGGGAAAGCTCTGTGTCAGGTGCCATGGGCAATCCTACCTGCCATACCTTGTAGAGGGGTCATGCCAGGGAGAGACATGTTGAAATGGTGCCACAGGGGCTTGGAGGGATTTCCAGGATAATGAGATCTGTGGTGGGTTTTGCAGATGATCTAAGAGGAAGATCTTTCCTGAAGAGGAAGGGTGTATGAATGCAGGCACCCCTGGGAGGGAAGGCGGAGAGGGAGGAGCCTGTCGGAATGAGGAATTAGGGAGAGGAAGAGCAGGAAAAAGTTCCACAGCAGGCTGGGACATTGGAAACAGAGTTTTAGGGACCTGAGTATGCAGGCGGAGATGGACTTCCAGGGCCAACAGGCGTGCTTTCTATGAGCTCTGTCCTTCCAGCCTGGGCACTGGCAGGGCAAGCAGACGTTGGGGCATGTCCAGCTTGGCGTGGTGAGGGCGGGGCCACTCCAAGTGCTGCTTCTGTCCTGACCTGCCAACCTGGAAACCAAACCTCAGCTTGCCCTGCCCCTCCAGGTGGTCATAGCTCCTGGAGGAGGGGTCTGATGGGCCATGGGGGAGGAGACTGACATCTCTGTGTCCTTAACCCCTTTGGGCCTGACCCCAGGATTTATAGCTTGTTCAGACAGTTTGGGGGAGAGTTAAGCCCCCATGAGATTCCTCTGTGGGCCAGACACCCTTCTAAGCGCTCCTGCCCCTGCGTCTGTTTTACATATGGGGAAATGGAGGCACGAAGCACTTAGCTGTTGGTCTCTTGCTCTGTGGAAGGCAGGGGAGAGGGCACAGGGCTGGGTGTGCAGAGTCATGGCAGCCCCTCGTCAAGTCCACCGTTCCCTCTGAGCCCAACATCCCTGTCACTGTGTCCCCTGTCTTCCTCTCCAGGAAGGAGTGCCTGGTGAGTTCCTCCGGGAATGACAACACAGAAAACGGGCTGCCGGGCTCCAAGGCTGAAGAGAAGCCACCCACCAAAGTGTGAGCCCTGCCACAGGCCGGGCGGCCACAGGGAGCCGCGCCTCGTGGGGATGCAGCTGGTCTTTGCGCCCCATCTGTCTGTAGAACCCATGTGCCTGAGACACCCGCTGCTTGGCTCAAACTGTAGTCTTTCTGGACAGGGAGGAACCGGGGTGTGTCCGTCCTGCCCCACCCCTCCCCAGCCAGGGCTGCTCCCCAGGGACGGAGGCTGGGGGTGGGGTGGGGATGCCAAAGAAGGATGAGAAGCAGGGAAAGGAGGGATGGACAGACTGCTGCCCCAATATCTGGGGAGAGGGGGTCTCCTTCCGTCTCCTTGGACTTGGGTTTTCTTCCTAGTTTCCCTGCAAAAGGGGCTGGAGGGATGGTGAGAACTGACCTAGGAGCTAGCCCTGGAGGTGGTGGGAGTAGGCTGGGGCGGGAACTGCAGGAGAGGGATGCCAGTGAGAGAAGAGCCTTGGGTTTGGGGGCGGAGTCTCTGTCTCCTGCGCTGGAGTACCTACCTGCTGCATCCCAGCTCCCTGCTCCAGGTTGCTAAACCCTCCCAGCTCAGATAGCCTTGGCTTATGGGGTCCCTTCCCACCTAGCCTGGCCCCTGTTCTCTGGGTTGCTAAGGGACTCCCAGAGGGGACCTGGAATATTGCTAACATTCTCTGTGGGGACTGAAGCTTCTGAGGAAGGCCCATCCTAGTCCTGCGATGCCGGCAGTCCTCACCTTGGTGTGGCAGGACCATTGCTACCCTGTGGGTGCTCCTCCCTCCCCATAGACAGCAGGTGGTGTCCTCTTGCTTGTGGGGTAGCACCCTGAAACCTGCTGTCTGGTTGGCTTGCTCCTTAGTGCCCCCATCATATCTTCTCTCCTGTCCCTAGGGCTGTTTCTCCACCAGCTCCGGGTCAAGGGGGTCTACCTTTGTCTCAGGGACCCTCTTCTTGGCTGAGGGCCCTTAGCTTTTCCAAGATGCTTTCTGCTCGGCTGGGCCACCCTCTCTTGCACCTGAGGCTTGGCAGGGTGGTTGGTGGTGGAGTGTGGAGAGCAGGAAGAGGCTGCCCACACTTCTCTTCTGTGCTTTCAGGAACCAGTTTGCACATGCTCCTGTGTGGGGCTAGACTGTGCCTTAGTTCCTTTGGGTCCCAGCTCCTACTTCTCCACTCCAGCCTGTAAGACCTGACATCATAGCAGGGCTTGGGGCAGCCCTAGCCAGGGCTCCCAGCATTTTTATCCCTCAAGTCATATGTGTGTGTGTGTGTGTGTGTGTGTGTGTGTGTGTGTGTGTGTGGGCTGTGAGGCTAGAGTTGTGTCACTTGCAGATTCTAGACCAATGACAAGCCTGGAAACTTTTGCCAGGTATTCCTGCAGAGTCTCTGATTGGTGGTGGTGGGGGAGGAGGGATCTGGTGGTATTGAAAGTGGGACATCCTGATGGTTCCCCCTACCACGGTGTGAGTCTGAGACAGACTCCCAAACTCCCCCTGATGCTCTGTTCCCACCCTCCTGTCCTTCTCCATCCAGCCTCCATCGTGGGCTGGGGTCGGCTTTTCTTGGCTTTGGGAGCAGACAGAGGGCTCTCAGCCATTCAGAAGACTTCTTCCAGGAGCCTTTATGCAAAATGTCTTTCTCCCATCTGATATCAATATGGGAAAAGGCAGCTGCACACCTCCTGGCTCCTCTCAACGCCTGGAGGCAGCCAAGACATCGCGGGTGGAGGGCCAGAGGAAGGACAGCGTCCTCCCTTTCCTCTCCCAGGACTCCTGCTGGCTTAGAGGTGGGTCCCAGAGCTTCTGCAGGCTCAGCTTTCCCCATCTAGCGAATGGGTATAATCATACTTACCTACCTCACAGGACTGTTGTGAGGCTTGGGGAGTTTTGCTTAAAAATATATCATTTTGGTTTTTGAAAGGAATCTGGGAAGCCAGGCACTAGGACTGTGGGATTGCTCCAAGTCTGTCCTGTTTTCCTCTCCGTGTCTCATCTCCACTATGTGCTCTCTCCATCACTCTCCCTTGACAATCATTCAGTCTTTGTAACATTGGGATGTGAGGCTTCAAGCTTCCTACTTGGTGGTTTGCACCAGAGGAGCCTGAGGCTGTCAGAGGCATCCCTTTTGGTTGCCTCAAGGCCTGGAGGCACCACTGGCCCTTAGTGGTTGGGGATCTAAGAGTGCTAAACCCCAAAGAGTCGTCCTATCTTTGCACTAACCTGAGCCGCACGGAGAAACACCAACATGGATTTGCACTGACAGTAACATCTGTCAGAGACCTATTGCTCAGAGTTCCCTACCCTTGACCTCCAAATAGGATGCTGGCATTCCAGGCCTTGGTTCCTCCTGGTGTGGGAATGGAGCTGAAGGCAGCCAGTGTGAACTTGGGATGTCAGAGAGGCCTTGGAGGGGGGTGGTAGGGCTCAGGCCATGTCCAGAAATGGGCTGAGAGGAAGTGGTGTGTGCAACAGGTGGGCTGTGCGTGATGGAAAAGATTCTGGTCATGTCAAGAGCCTTCCAGCTGACCTAAATGAGCCTGATGGGGCCCTGGAAACTGAGAAAAAAGACCAAGAGGAAGGCCAGCCAGGCTTCTGATTCTGTTACTCAGTGACTCCATCTTGTCATGACGGACACCTGCCATTGAAGGGCTGGTGGGCGGAATGCCAGGACGGAGGACGGGCGGTGCGGTGGGAATCCTACAGCTTGCTTTCCTTCACTTTGTCCCAGGTTGGAGTTCCTGCCCTCTCCGCCCCCTTCCCCCATTATGCAGTGCTTCCAACTATCTTATGCATGGTTTATGCCTCTGGCTTGGATGACAACCCATAGTCAGCTTCCCTCTAGAACTATAGCTCAGACTGCAGCAATGGCCTCGGGAGGCACCTGGGGAGGCATAGATGAGCACCCTCTCAGCACTGACTTGTGTTCATGCACAGAATGGAGGTGGCCGAATAGTTGTGCCTCAACAACATGTTTTGCATTATAGAATTGTATCTAGCTTTGCCTGGAATGAAATAAAAATTATGTTTACTATGTTGGGCTTTGGAGGTTTTCATTCGTGCCTGATTAAGAGTTGGCTTTTGTTTTCTTTTTTTTATAAAAAATATTTTTATTTGAAAGGCAGAGAGAAGGACACGCACGCATGCACACACACACACACACACACACACACACACACACACACACACACACACACACACATACACGGAGAGAGAATCTAGCCACTTGGTTCATTCTCCAAATGGCTGCAACAGCCAGAACTGGGTCGATTCAAAGCCAGGAGCCAAGATCTTTTTCTGGGTCTCCAACATGGGTACGGGGGCCAAGCACTTGGGTCTTCCTTTGTTGCTTTCCAAGGACATTAGCTAGATCAAAAGTGGAAAAGCTGGGACTCCAACCTGTGCCCATATGAAATGCTGGCACCATAGGCAGAGGCTTACCTTGATACACCATAGTGCTGGCCTGTAGTTTTATTTCTTGTCAGCTGTGATGTCTAAAACATGACTTACCTTGGTGCAGGGACACATGAAAAATGCCCAGTGTCTGGCATATGCAATAGGCATTCAGGTTCTTTAGCTTCAGTTCTCTGGAGAATTGGAAAAGTGGCATTTGATGACCAGAATCATTGCCAGGGCCATCCTTGAGCTGATGAACATGGTCATGGTTCCGTTGTCACCAAATGATTTCATACCCCTTCCTATATGGGCACCAGTTCTAGTCCCAGCTGCGCCATTTCCGATCCAGCTCCCTATTTATGGACTGGAGAAGGCAGTGGAAGATGACTCAAGTGTTTGGGACCCTGCACCCATGTGGGAGACAGAAAAAGCTCCTGACTCCTGGCTTCAGATTGGCTCAACTCCGATTATTGTGGCCATTTAGGGAGTTAACCAGCAGATGGATAATTTCTCTCTGTCTATCCTTCTTTCTGTAAATCTGCCTTTCAAATAAAAGCAAACATCTTAAAAAAACTTCATTAAGAGTTTGATTTCTGTATATTTTTATATCTTTTTAATGTTTAGCAGTCTATAGCCCAATGTTCTGGGTATGTCTCCTATATTTTAAATTTTCTATCTGTATATATTAGTTGGTAAGTTTAACATTTATTCTGATTATTGATGCTTTTAAAAAATAATTCTACTTTGCATATTCTAGTTTTTTCACTTTTCAATGTTTTTTCTTCTGCTTGTCTTCTTTTGAGTTGCTTGATTTTTTGTTTGTGTCAATCTAATTCTTTTTTTTAAAAAATAATCTTTCCATAGTTGATTAGGGAACAAAGGGTCAAGGGTTACAGGAGAGTGGGTAAGACCATTGTTTCCACATTTTTTGTGTGTGTGTATTGGGGTAAGGAGGAAGATAAAGGGAAAAGACCCATCCAACCTCCCACCCCATCACAGGGTCCCCGACATGGGGCATGCTCCGAGGGCACTGCTCAAGTGGTTTTGATAGCGTAACAGTTCTAAATTGCTGCCAATCTCACCATTCCAAGCATGGTGAAATCTCTCCAGAGAATTCACTAGCTGACACAGTCCACCTGTTGTGGTACCAGGTGTCCTCCGTAGGCTTCGATGGACCACCATTTCCTTCATGTGCACACTACTGTTCCATCTGAGCCTCTGAGGAAGCTCAGCTTGAAACATGCACTCCATGGTAAATCATGAAACCTGCAATTCTCTTCATGTTTGGGGTTCTAAGATCAGCAGTTCAGTTGGAGGAATCCGCAAAGAAACTTTGTCTGAGGTGATCCCAGTCCTGATTCTTGTGTGTGAATGCTAGTAGAGGGTCTGGAACAGTCTGTTGCCCCAATCAGCTTATGCCTATGCTGGTGGTTGCAATTACTGGGTAAGTTTTGTCTCCAGCCCTGTGTTTTACACAAATCAATGGGTGGGTGTTGCAGTCTAGCCCAATCTTGCCCACCATATACCCCATCTTTGCGTAAACCAGTGGGAGCTGCGGCCTAGTTGGGGCGACTCCCCATAACCCTCACCAGGCCTGACCCTACCCTGGTTCCCATGCTTGCCAGTATGTACAGCAGAT